TGCACTGGCCTAAAGGAGGAGAAATTCAGCTACAAGATGACACACACACATCTGGACAAAAAGCATGCCCACATTAATAATACATATGCTTTGCAGACCCCCAGACTGGGTTAAACCTACAAAACCCACCCAACTCTCTTCCCCTCTACTGTAATCTCCCTGCCCCCCACCCCTACACCACAAACAAGGCAGGTCACCTTTTGGATTAGGGTCAGATTCCCTTTCTTGATACTCCTGAGGGAGGTAAGGTAGAGTGCCCTTCCTCCTGCACCCCCAACAAACAAAAAAGGATGTTGTCCCTCTACTATATCTGGGAGTGCAATGGACCTGTGAGAACCGAAGCGGGGTAGGGGCCGGCAGGAGGCCTTTGGCTTTCAGGCCCCTGTACTCCACTTGGCAGTAGCTCTGAAGCTGTGCTCCAGTCGGAAGAGCAAACGAGGAATGAGGTGTTCTGGACAAGCCAACAGGTTTCTGCATAGAGAAGCTGGGTTTCCACCAGGAGGAATGGGACAGCCATTAGGTGAGGGGAGAGGAGAGGCTCTGCCTGCCAAGGCCTGCCCATCCCAGCCCCAGGATCAGGTAGGTCCACATGCCCACTCTCCAGGAATTCTGGTGGGATTTCCATACAGGCACTCAATAGTGGCGTCCATACTTCCTCCCATCCTGTTTCATCCTCGGATTCCTATACCTTGGTTTACCCAAGATGCAGAACAGGTCACATCCCTCAAAACCTGGATTTCCAATGCAACCAGAACTACCAATGGCCAAGGCCTGGAGAGTTATCACTCATGTCTCAAGTGACAAGGGAGAGTCCAGGAAGTGCTCCTGGAGTTGAAGGAATAAGCCACACTCCACAAGGCTTCATAACCAGCCCTCAGGAAGGGAGCCGCCAAGAGCTGCCAAGGGAGGAGAGGGAGAGAGTGGGCGCAGGAAGAGCCCATGGAAAGGAGGTGGGGAGAAGAAAAAGAGCCTTCTCACTTGTAACCAGGGTCCATGAGCTGCGTAAGGGTGCTCCTCAGTGGCAAAGGCACCTTCCACTCCAGTGGAGACGAATGTGATGGCCATGTCACCTGTGATACTTTTATATGTAAAGTGCCGTCCATGCAGGAGCCTGCCCCTGGGGGTGGGAACATGGAGACAGTGAGCAGCAGGCCTGGCCAAAGCTCAGGGACTGTGGGGGCTATGCTCCCTGGGAAAGGGTGTCTGGCAAATGCCCTCCTGGCTGCCCACCTGTCCACTAACAGGGGACCATAACCAAACATGTTCATTTCAACACCTTCCAAGAGAAGCCTCTCACAAGTTCTCTGCTGGCATTCTTCCCGAGTGCTCAAAGCTAGCAGAGACATTAGGTCAGTGTTCAGAGGGCTTGCAGGGGTACTGAAGTCCATCTCTTTCGTGTCCTGGTGAGGAAACTGAGGCCAGAGAGGGCAGATAGCAATGTGCCCAAGGTCATGCCCAGAGCTGGGAAGGGGTTCATGGCGCCTTTGTTTGGAGGAGGGGAATGAAGGAGTTCCTAATTTCCCATGCTCCTGGGGATGGTGGAGTGCCTTCATAGCACAAGCCCTGTGTCCAGGGAAGAAATTTCTACCTGTTCCGCGGCTCTCCCACAAGATTTAAATGACTAGCCCCAAAGCCATAAGCACACTTAAAAAAAAAAAAAAGGCTGAAGCCAAGTGGGGTCCCTTTGAGGGAGCCACAAGAGGTTGTTGTTAATCCCCAGTCTGAAAATACAACTGGGGGAAGGGCAGGCAGGGGGCAACCAGTGGGGCAGATGCCAGTCAGCAAAGGAATAAAACAGCTCTTTGCTTTTTCAGGCTGCCCCAGATTAACCCTTCCAGTAGTCTGAAGGCCCCAAGCCTTTAGAGGGAGCTGGGAGGAAACGGCTGGGGTCCTCGCGGGGGGGCCCTGCCAGCCACCATGCATCCTGACCACTAACTATCTTTGTTCTGCTACCCAGGGTGGCTGGCCAAGGCTGGTCACCATCCAAGCTCCTTCCCCGGGCTCCAGGGACAGTGTGGAGGGTCCAAACCAGTGCAACCCTCTTCCTTCCTTGTCACTGTTGTCTGAGTTTCGAGTTATTCTTGTTGCCTCCCCTGCAATAAAAATGAGGGTGGAACCCCTGAGGGCTGTGGAGGAAGCCAGCTGCAACAGACTCAGCCCAGGGCAGCATCCCCAAGCAGAGAGCTGACTTCTGGCCACAGGGCTGGGATTTTGGCACTGTGGACAGTAGCAGAAGGGACACAGCTGGACTTCCTGGTCCCTCAAGGAGTCTGCTGGGCTGGCCATTGGGTTCGAAGAACGGAGTGTTTTGCATGGGAAAAGCGGCAAGCAGGAGAAAACAGAGCCCAACCAACCAGAGCCCTTGCCCTACTGCCCTAGTGCTATGGGGACCCTGCCACCCCTGACCCTGGGCTGGGGGAGTGCAGGGCATCTGAGACTCCGTAGGTCACCGGACCTTCCTAAATGAGCAGGGCTGAGGGACACTCCTCTAGACAAACGAGAGTTCTTCAGCACAGTGGGGGCTACTGGCTGGTGCAGAGTCCATGGACTCCCCCACAGGCCCACATGGAGCTGCCTGACTAGTTCTCCTTTCTCCCTGGGCCCCGGACTCCACCTAGGCAGGGGGAGATGGTAAGCACAGGCATCGTGGCTCCGAGGCCAAGCTGGGCGCTGCGGGGCTCACCTTAGGCAGAGAGGAATAAGGGCTCCCGACTCCTGGTTGAACTTCAGATGTACGCTCTCGAGTTGCCGCGTGCGGATCAGCTCATGGGGAATAATGGCCGTGGAGCTGTCGCTTTCCAGGCTGTCCTTGCGGCTCCTGTGAAGCGAGCACAGAAACAGGTTTAGCACAAGGTAAAGACAGTAGGGAGGAGGAAGTCTCTCAGGCTGGGCTCCTGAACAATGAAAATAAAGGTGATTGATGATTATGATAACAGCTACCATCCACTGAGAACTTGCCAAGCAACCTCACACCGCCTCCATGAGGTGGGCACTATTATATCCCTTTTACAGATAAGGAACTGGGGATGAGGGAGGGTAAGTAACTTGTCCAGGATGCACAGCTGGGGAGTATGGAGCTGGAAGGTGGTGAATGGTAGGTCTGGTTCTAAAGCCCACATCTTTGGCCAACACACCACATAAACGTTTATGTTGCAATGACTTGTTCTTCCCTATGGTAGCAGTAGGAGCTTCTGGAAGTCCTTCTCCCCTGCCCTGGAGCCTCAGACCCCAAGTTCTCCACAGTTGGGGTGCTAGAGTGCTAGGAGACATGGCTTCCCTCCAGCTGACCTGAAAAGGCTGTGACATCACAGCAGACTCTGAGCTTGCACTCTCCTGTTAACAGCCAGGAGTTGCAGTGACACACACATCCTTCATCTAACCAGGAAATGATACAATCCTCAGTGAGGGTAGAAACCAGGTTCTCAGGAGTCAGACCAGTGGGCTTGGCTGGGTAGCAGAACTGGGCCACCAGCCTGCTGGGCTTCCAGGCCCCAGGAGCCCTGTGCCGGAGTCTTCCTGACGTGGCGTTGGCCACCGTGAGCTGTCACTGCTGCCTCACACTCCCTCCTGTCCTGCTTCCCACCGACAGCTTGTCCTACAGCTGGGCCATGGGGTCCTTTTGGAATCTAAGATTTGCTCTTTCAAATTCAGCTGCCCCCACTGACAACCTCTCAAATCTGCCTCAGCCAGAAATGAGAGTTACCCACTGATCCCATTCAAAAGGCCGGATCCTGGTTTGGGCTGTGAATCTCAGAACAATTCTCCAGTGTCCATCAAAATACTGGTGAGAAGCTCTAGTTATTTATCATTCGAGTGGCCAAAGCCACCCAGGATGTCTGAGCCCAGCAGGCAGACAGCCAGTGAGGAGCAGGCCCAACCTCGTCAACACGCTGGGGGGCTGAGTGCTGGGGCCTGTGGCCAATGAGGCACCCTGAGAGGCAGAACACATCCCCAGAGGGAGGATGTGAGGTCAGCAGGCAAGAGGATGGAGGGTGACATTGGACAACACGAGGCCCACCGAGGCAGTGGTTTCTAAAGGCCCCTGAGGTAATGGGGGCCCTTCCCGCCAGCTGGGTGGATCTGCCCCCAGATATATGTGGCTGCTCTGTCCTGAAGTGTTCCCTTTCTCCGGCTTCCCAAAGCCAATTCTGAAACTGCCCTTTGCTCTAGCTTCTTCTTTGACAAACTCTTTCACAAGACCTGAGGAGGACACATGCTCTGGTCAAGAGGGTCATGGAATTTCCGCACTGGAAGGAAACTCTGAGATTGTTTAATCTACCTCTTTTCCTTGCAAAAGAGAGCCTGTAATGCATGTAAGGCCACAGAGCTGGTCTGCGGCAGGCCAGTGTGGGAGCCGAGGACCTCTAAACAGCTTTCTCTTACACCCGGCTGCTAGGCCTCCTGCCTCCTGTCACAGGAAAGGAGAGCAACACTGAACACCACCTCTCAGCGGGCACGACGCTCAGGGCTCAGACAAGAGCAGAACTCAGGAGAGACAGCAGCCTTCCCTTTGTAAGCCCCTACTCTGTTCTAGAGCACGGAGTCCATAGATCCACTCACTTAGTCCTCACAACAAGCACCCCAGGGAGTCTATTGCTAACACTTCTTTTACAGACGAGGAAACTGAGGCTCAGGGAGGTGAGGTGATAAGCCTAAGGTCACAGAGTGAGTTTAAATGGAAGAGGCAGGGCATGGCTCTTACAATCACTTGCCCATGCCATCTCTACACAGACATACCACCATGTTCCCACCGCCATGCTCCTGAACGGGAAAAGGGCTGAGGTCTGGCTGCCAGGCAGGGCCTCTGAGCCTGTGGGGCCTGCTGGAGGGAGGAGGATCCCCACCTCTCCAGCATGGGCAAAAATGCTGATGAATAGCAACTGGGGGTGGGGGGCTGGGAGAGAAGAATCAACAGCACACAGGACTGGAGACATCTCAAGCTGGAGGGGAAAATAAATTGTTGAAAGTCAGCTAAAGTCACCTTGGTAACTGCTACAACACACTCACCCGGAACAAGGACATCAAACCCAAGTGCAAACAGCTTTAAAGAAATGGAAAAGAACTTAATCATCTGAAGAATTAATGTGACAAGTGCCCACATTTACACCTCCCACCAACCTTCAATCATTTGAAAATGTACTTTAATCTTTTAAGAGAAAAAAAAAAGCAAAATGCTAGATCTGCAGTCCTGGAGCTTGGGTATTTCCGGCATGCCGCTTCAATGGAAATGCGGCTGCTACACACACACACACACACACACACACACACACACACACACACACACACACACACACACACACACACACAGGAGCCCGGCTTTTTGCTGATTTGTTTTTTCTGGACATCGATGCAGAAGCATGAATTATTTGTGTGGGCTGGGTGAGGTATTAAATCTGCATTGACACAGGTTTGCAATGTTTTGCATGGTTGTCAGCTTAATCTTAGTCATAAAAAAATAAGTAGTGTGCTCGCCAGCATGGCCTAATTTTTCAGCTGGGCTGTTTTCTCTGAGTTCCCAGTGGAGGGGAAGGCAGAGCTTCCGGGGTTGAAAGGGAGAAGGGCTCCCAGGGAAGCATGGTCCACACCCACTGGGGCTGCTGGGGATATGGGCCCCGGGGATGAAGGATGAGCTACTGCGGCAGGAGGCAGAGTGGCTCACAGCATTGGTTTGAGCATATGACTGAACCGCTCCCTAAGCTGCGGAAATAAATAAGAATGCCCTTTTGTTATAGGATTAAATGAAATGACCCAAACGAAGCATCTAACAGTGCCTGGGATGTAATAGGTGCTCAAAATATATCTGGAACGCATTAGCAGGATGTTAGCTGGCTGCATCTAGAAGTCTACCTGTTCCTCCTGCAAGAATGTTGATAGCTTAATACAGACTTGTTTGCCTTTACCCTGGGCCCATAATCTAACTGCTTCTGGCCAAGTCAGTCCCCCACTTCTGAGCAAAAGTCCTTGCTGAACTTGGGAGAGGGGATTTCTGAGATGGGGCTTGAAAGGACCCCTGACTCAGCAGACACTGAGGGCCCTGGTCAACCACAAGTGCTCAGGGAAGGCTCAACTATACAGATCAACAAACCCCGTGAGGCCTTTGTTCTGCTGAAGGAGGCAGAGGCAGGGCCATCTTCCTTCTAGACAGCACAGTCAGCCTTCCTACAATCCTCATCTGCCGGTCCTCAAGTTGCCCAGACGCAGTTTAATCCACCCTCCATGCTAGCCTTTCAAATCCCCGAAGCTGCTCTCACAGACCATCAACGGTTTCTCTTTTCCAGTATTGGTGGCCTCAGCTTTCAAGGTTGTATTTTTAAGACAAGGTTCTGGAATCTTCCATCCATCCACATCACTCTCCTGTGGATTCACTCTAGCTTGTAAAGCCACGGTGTCATGTCCAGAAGTGAAGGGTCATGTGTGGAAATAAATACAGCATGTGGCCTAACCAGTGCAGACCACAGAGGGACTATGAGTTTTCTTGCTCGGGATATTTTATTTCTATTAAAACTGCCATTGCACGACCAGCTCATACTGCACTCCCCCGGCAGCGAACTCTCCCTTAGGCTTTCTCCCATGGCTGTGCTTAGACCTCTTCACCCCCAGCTTGTAGGTCTTGCGGATTATTTGGAGCTAAAAGCAGCAGAGCTCTGCATTGTCTGGCTAGTGTTTTAAGCAGTCCGGATATTTCTGAAACCTGACTCTGGCATACATCATATCGGCATTCCCTCCTGACTTCACATCACTGACAAAACTGATAAACTGGCCATTGATGTTCTCATCCCAGGCTTTGATTCAGCAGTGAACAGGACAGGGCCAGGCAGACAGGCTGACAGACTGACAGATCATTGCTCTTTGGGTATGCCCACCCAACCAATTATATATCAACCCAACCATCCCATCACCAAGCCCCTCTCTCCTGGATATTCTGTGGACATTTCTCTGTCTTGTCAACAATGATAGCAAAGGACATTCTCAAATGTCTTACTAAACCCCACCTATATAAGGTCTACAGTATTTCCTTTGTCTACCAGGTAGAAGCAGGTAATTGATTTCTAAAAAAGGCAGTGAGGATGGTCTGGTAGGTCTGACTCTTCATGAATCCACGTGGACTCTCGGGGCTCACTGTTGCCCTTAGAGAGTGTTCACAGCCTACTTGCTAAATAATCTAGTCCAGAACTTTCCCTGAGAGTTGACACCAAGCTTACTTGTCTAGGGCGTCAAGATGCTTTTTACATCCTGGAGCTTCTGAGTGATTCCAGTCTGCCAACACCTCACCCATCCCCTCAAAGATTTCTACCATCAGCCTCAGGAATCTTATCTGCCAATTTGCCTGGGATCCTGGGGCACAATACATGTGGACCAACGGATCTGAAATCATGGCTTCAATCCTATTATCAATGCCAGTGAGACCCTTCCTGGTCTGAGAACCATTCTTTTTGAGATGGAAAAATAATAGAACCTGAGTACATTTTGCTTTCTTTTTGCCACCGATTAATTTGACTCTGTCCAAACAATGGGGCCTAGGTTTTATTCTTGTTCCAAACAGAAGTACAAAAAATAAAGTCCTTTTTGCTGGTAATAGCACTTTTTTGCAAGACTCAGTTCTTCTTGAGCTTCAGCTTTTTTTTTTTTTTTTGACCCTGTTCCTTAAAGTCTGTGCTGGTATAAACACACTTCTCCTTCCAGCTTTTGTTCAAATTCTCCAAAAATGTTGAAGTTATGTAAAGGATTCTCTACATATCTATATTGGTCCCTGGAGGTATTACACCTCCTTTTAATTTTCAGGAGATTATTCACAGTAATAATATTAAAAGGTACCTT